CTTGGGACAAGTGACTTCTCAAGACTACAGCCGTGTCATAGAGACCGGTCCCAGCAGAGACCAAGTCAGGCAAAGACCGCATTCGACAGACACTGTACATGAGAAACTGTCCGTGAGAGAACGGTTCTGCATGGCATCAAGTGGAGGAATTTCAAAAAATCAAAATATGCTGGAAGTTGTTCAAAAAGCGCACAAAACCAAACAAATTTGAAAAATTTCACATTCAATATTTTTAATATTTTTCAAAAAAATTTGGTTTTATGCGCTTTTTAGACAATTTGCAGCATTTTTTTATTTTTGTAAAATTTTCTCTGACTACTACTGAACCGAAGAATAGAGATCAGGTGGACGGATCGAGTGACCAACGAAGAAGTATTGAGGAGAGTCAACGAACAAAGAAACATTCTGCAGGCGATTACACGAAGGAAAGCTAACTGGCTGGGACATATTATGAGAAGGAATGGGTTACTGAGTGATATCATCGAAGGCTAGGTTGAAGGAAAGCGAGGACTGGGAAGAAGACTGATACAGCTAACCGACGACCTTAAACAAGGAAAGAAGATGACGTTCCAGGAATTAAAGCGAGAAGCCGAGAATAGGGACAACTGGAGAGCTCTTTTTGGGCAGAGCAATGGACCTGTCGTAAGCCAGAACACTTAATAATAACTACTGAACAATGGAACTCTGCCAGACTCGGCTTCGGCTAGCCTCCGTCTCTCCGGCACCAGGTCTCTAGAGGACTGGATTTATGGCTCATCAGTATATGATGGACTCGGTCTGTGCGTCGCCATGTCTCTGCCGGACACGGTCTCTCCTCTCACCCGGGCTTTACACAAGACGCCTCGTGAGAGATAGTGTTATATCGAGACCGGATGGTGCAGAGAACAATTCGAGCTGATACTGGTGTGTCAGAGACAGGGAACTACAGTGAACATGTGCGGCAGCGACCCGTTCTCACAAAGGACTGGTGGGTGTGATTTGGAAAATATGGGGATTTTCAAAATTTAAAAAAATCAAAAAATGCTGCAATGGGACTAAAAAGAGCACATAACTGAAGAAATTTGAAAAATTCGTAAAACGTTGAATTAGAAATTGTTGATTTTTTAGTTTCATGAGCATTTTGGACATTTTCGTGCATTTTTGATTTTTCGTAAATTTTGAAAATTTAAAAAAAATTGAAAATTTTCAAAACAAAATTTTAATTTTTTTTATAAATGTCATTAAGAGCGAAAATAATCCAAAATTTTCAAAATTTTCTAAATAATTTTTGAACTTGAAATGTTTAAAAAAATTTACTTATGTGCACTTTTTGGATATTTTCCAACATGTTATGATGCTTCGAAAATTTTGATTTTTTTAAAAAAATTCTCCCCACACAATCCCTGCCAGTACATGTCTCTGCATGTCCGGTTTCTGTCCGCACATTGTCTCTGATGGATGCGGTACTGCCGGACTCGGTGTCTGCTCCATCCGTTCTCCATATGAACCGATCTCTGCTATGCCGTCTGTAAAAAGTCCTCGGTCGACAGACACCGGGTGTGGCACACGAGTCAAGCAGAGAACGGATAAGGCTGAGACCGGGTCTAACACAGACCGTGTTAAGCAGAGACCGTGTAAATCAGATAACGGCTCAAGAACAGACTCTGTCCAGCAGAGACACGTTGAAGAGTGCCACGTGTGAAGCACAGCCCGGGTGCTTCAGATACCGATTCCAGCAGTCCTGTATTAGCATAGACCGTGTCAAGCAAAGCTTGGGTGCTTCAGATACCGAGTCCTTCGGAGTCCGGGTTAGGCACAGACCGTGCCAAGCAGAGACACGTTGAAGCACAGACAGTGTAGATTGAGTGTGAGGCACACCCCAAGTCCAGCAGTCTGGGTGAAGCACAGACGGTGTCAAGCAGAGCCTGGGTGACACAGAGAACTAGTCTGGTAGAGACTTTATTCTGCCGAAAGCAGTTCTTATAGCGATTCAATGAGGATTATTTTGAAAAAAAAATCCAATTTTTCAAAATTTTGCAAAAATCAAAAAATGCTGCAAAGGACCTGAACAGCGCACTAAAGCAAAAAATTGTGAAAAATGCGAAAAAAATTTAAGTAGCATTTTTCCATTTTTTTAGTTTTGTGAGCATTTTGGACATTTTCCTGCATTTTTGATTTACCGTAAATTTTGAAAATTTTCAAAATATTCGAAATTTTAAAAATTGTTATAAATGTTAAGAGCGGAAATAACCAAAAATTTGCGAAATTTTCCAAAGAATATTTGAACTCGAAATTTTTCAAAAATTTTTACTTATGTGCGATTTTGGGACATTTTCCAACATTCTCCCCACCTGATCCCTGCCAGAACCGATCTCTCCACACCAGGTCTCTGCCGTACCGTCTCTGATGGACGCGATCTCGGCCGGACTGTGTCAGCACGATACGATCTCTACATGATCCAGCATCTGACCGAGCGTCTCTGCAAAGACCATGTACAACAGACACTATGTGAGGCAAATATCGAGTCTGGCAGAGAACAGGTGAGGCGGAAATCGAGACTGGCAAGTGCCGGGTCCGTCGGAGACAGTGTCCACAGACATCGCTCGCTGCCGTAGTGTCTATGACGGAGATGGTCTCTGCTGTAGCCTCTCTGCACGACCCGGTTTCTGTGACTTTGTCTCTGATTGGCTGTCTCTGCAAAGATCGTGTTCGACTGGCTGTGTAAGACACTCACCATGTGAGTCAGAGACCGGGTGAGGCAGAGGCCGCGACCGTCAGACATTGTCCGCAGATCGTGTTTTGAAAATGTTCTTCAAAATTCTCCTCACCCGATCCCTGCCAGAACCGATCTCTGCACACCAGGCCTCTGCCGTACCGTCTCTGATGGACCCGGTCTCTGTCTCTGCACGATACGATCTCCACATGACCTTGTACCTGACTGAGCGTCTCTGCAAAGACCGAGTCCGGCAGACAACAGGTGAGGCAGAGATTGTGACTGGCAAGGGCGGTGTCCATCAGAGACAGTGTCCACAGATATTGTTCTCTGCCGTAGCGTCTATGACGGAGCCGGTCTCTGCTGGAGCCCGTCTGCACAATCCTGTATCTGTGACTAGGTCTCTGACTAGCCGTCTGTGCAAAGACTGTGTTCGACTGGCTGGGTAAGACACTGACCGGGTGAGGCAGAGACCGAGTACCACACATGCTACTAATTTTATAATCTTACTGTAAAATGTATGTTTTCTAAGTCAAAATAACAGCAAGCTGTAGCAGGATCAAGTTTAAAATACAGGGTATACACAAAAGAATGGTGCAACTGTGACTGGCGACTCATTTTTGGATATGTTGGAAAGCTGGTTGTTACCCCAACTGAATACCAATTATGATGATTACATTCTATAACTGGACAGAGCTCCCCCCCATTTTCACAGGAATGTATGAGTGCTTCTCAATCGTGTTTTTCCACAGCGCTGGATGGGATGAGTTTGATTACCGTGTGGATGTGTCATGTGACCCAGGGTGCACACATTGAAGGACTGTAATTAACGCATGAGAAACTTGGACAGTTGCTGCCACTGACGGTGTATGTTTTGCCCGAGTAAGGTGAGAAATAAATTTTGTATTAACTTTTGAAACCGCACCATTCTTTTGTGTATACACTGTATATGTAACTCTACAGTAATTTGTCATTTCTTGAATGAATATTGTTGAAGATGACAAGAACTGGATAAGTTTTAAAAAGTAGTTGCAGAAAAGGTTTCTTTGTCCTTCTAGCCTGAGGGAAGAAAGCAGTTGGAACACCCTAACCAAGATTATGTGAATACCACGGAAAAACTCCTTTTACAATTCCAATTCCAACTATCCACCATCTTGACCATGTATCTTCTCAATGACAGCATTAAATATTATCACTAGAAAATACCACAGTTATGATGCATTGTGCAAAGTGAAATCTATATTAAATTAATCACAAATTATTGATAACACTACAGTCTAAAATGAAAAATTACCATTGACAAAGGTAAGTTCAGAGTGTATGTAAATTTTTGAAAATATATAAAAGGAAACCATAAAATATTTGATACCTGGCATAAAATAAAATAAGTGATGGTAGGTCTGTGCGTTTGAAATGTATACTGGAGCTGACAATGAAGACTGTAACATCTGAATTTTGCTTTCAACACTGCAGATGTGCTGATCATTCCACCTGTGGCCAGCCCCCAACTTTCTCCATGAGAACATGGCAGAAAGGCAGTTTAAATGTCATAACCCGACAGACCAGAAACACGAAACGAGGTACTCTAGCAGAAAGCAAAAAATTAAGAGGATAGAAGAACAGTTCAGGGGGAGTTTATGGTCTCAATGTCTGTCTGGAAAGAGCATCTGTTGTAAGGAAAGTGCTGCATGAAAATGCACTAAATTTGACTGTCACCCTCATGACATAACTAGGCATAGGAGAAACCTCACCAGTATCTTCCAGAATAAATAGTCCATAGTAATTTCACCTTCTGAAATAAAGATGCCACAAATATCCAGACAAGTCAGTAGTTTCCACTTCACACGTCAAGAGTAAATCACAAGAGCCCCTGCCTCTTAAGATCTTCAAAAGTCTTACGATTAACAACATTTCCTTGTGAATCTTCATACTCTTCCTCCTGTTCTGGTTGCCAGCGCTCTCCATGCTTCTGATTCTTCAACTTCTCCCATACTGTAAGAACATGAAATATGTGCAATGTCTGTAGAGAGGTAAGACATGAAACGCTCCTTTACAGGGTCAATGATCATCATTATCAGGCCTCAACAAATTTCAAAAGATAAACATAAAATTTAATTTAGACCTTTACATGTAATGGTTCTTAAAAAACTAAACAAACCTAAACAAGAATCAAAATACCCTAGTCAAAATTTGTGTTAACCTATAATACTGAGCTTGAACAAAATTAGTCTCATACTTTGGATCTTATTTCTTGCAGACTCATGGGTGGATATTGAAAAATGTTCAAAATTTCTTTCAAGTCACACAAATGTTAAAATAAGAAACCTAAGGTTTTTATTGTAAAGTTTGGATTGTGACCTTATGGGTTGTGCTACTGTGTAGTCTAGTAGGTGTTAACATACATTCTCCCAGAAACATTCTGCCTCCATCTTCAGAGTAGAATATGGAAGCAGCATGTTCCTCTGAAATGTTGGTAACTGATGACAAGACTATATGGTTTCATAACCAAGAAGACCACAATCTGAAATGTTAAAACAATGGTAAGACCAAGGGAAGAAACAAAAGAGGTGGAAGAGGAGTATGGGAAGGCAGAGACAGACGGAGAGACTTGGTTGTTTGTGCCACATAAAGTATAGACATCTTAGGAATCTTAGCAAAAAGAAGAGGAACTGAACAGGGGGTAAAAAAAATTGGGACCATCAGTTGCAGTCTGAGTTGTGACACTATATAGCTTTGTAGGTGGAAATCAATATACTGCTTAAAATTCAACACTGAAGATGGAGGCAATGCATTCCCCTAAATCACTGATAACCATATACTGTCACAACTCACTAGACTGCGAATGGCATTTTCACTGCCATGAAAACATTAAATCTGAGGAAGTAGGGGCTATTAAATTAGATAAAATTCTAAGCCATAGTATGTTAATTGCTACAGCATGGACACTGACCTGTCTTACCTCAGAAAATTATGAGGTACCATGCAGTGTTACTAATTCTTTCACCACGTCAAAACCATAAAGCAACTAAAAACATTTCCTGCCTTTCGATATAAGGGATTGACATTTTCATTAGCATAAATTTCCATTTATCAACTAATAACAAGAAAATTAGTCACAATAATGACAAACAGCGTATACTGTACTTCTCCTACTATGGTCAAAAACACAATACAAACCAAAACATTTTTCCGGAATTTCTCACAAGACTGACAACTTTAAGACAAAAATGAAAGAAAAACTGTAACACTTACATGCAAGGGCATCTTCAATCTGTGTAACATTGGCAAAGTGAGCTGTGTTTGGGATTCCCAGACATCTCATTCCGTGAGCATGACGCCATTCCTGCAAATGAACATAAAATTAAACGTCAGATGAACACTCTGTACTGGCAAAGACCCCTAATTCTCTAAGTGCCAAGCCATTACCTGAAGCAGCTATCTACGACTGCCAAGGCATTTCATTTATAAACGCAAACTGGTAGAAAAATTTTCACAGAAATTTTTATTTTAAGCAAGAGATATAATTGTTTTTACAAACAACACAGCAATCTTTCGGATTTCAAGAAAACTGTATTTCACATTTGAATTGCAAAAAGGAAGTGTAACACAAATTATGAAAAATTATTTTTATTGCCTTTTCAGTTTTTTACATCTTAAATCATATGCCATAAGCAATAATCAACTATGGACAAAATTAACATATATTACTGTAATAAACCATAAAAATACATTGTGGCTCTTCTCACATCACAAATATTTCTAGCACAACCAACACATTTATAACCATTAGCGTCATTTAAGTTTTGTGAACCTCCTATTTTTATCTGCCAAAATAAGAAATAATTTGTATCATTTACACCTTCAAGTCTTAAGTCTAAATGTCTTTTCCAACTTCCCCCCCCCAATATATAAAACACTCCATGCCATCTATCAGCTGCAAGGATAAGGATATTAAAAATGTACAACACTACGACATAAGTGTGTGACACTAAGAGGGTAAACATGAATGTGTAATAATTAGCTGTACCTTCAGCACGACATGATAAAGTAAAATTTATGTAGATTTACAAGGAAAACAGGTGGGTCTTATGGTCTGAAAGTAGGGCATTAAAATATATCAGATTTATATACACAGCTAGCCTAAAATAAAAAATATATATGCAAAAAATAACTTACAGCAAAGTGCCTCTGGAAAGCCTTGGGGCCCTTGTAAGTAAAGTTGCCACAGATCTCACAATTATAGCTGATGTTAAGTCCATGCAGTTTGTAAAGCCAGTAGGGGATTGGCTGAAACAATGGAAGCCAGCAATACAGTTTACGAGTCAGGAGTAAAATTATAAGGTCAAGAGTGGAAACGGACGACTATTAAGCATTTTTCAGCATAACTGGCAGCTGGAAAGTACAACTACGAGGCGTGTCCTTAAAGTAAGTTTCCCTGGGGCCGTTTACAGAAACAAAACACAATTTCATGGAAATATTTATTGCAACAGATACAGCAAGTGTCCAGCTATTTTTCAACATATTCGCCACCGGAATTGAGACATT